CCTGCCTTTGCCTGATTGCTGGCTGGGATTGGTTCCAGGGACTAAGCGGTAGAAAATGAATGAATGGTCTTAGTAGCAAACTAAGGAGAAACAGTTTCTTGCTTCCATCCCACAATCAGGATCTCACAACATTTGATAGGATTCAAATGACATTTGTAGGATTGTTTCCTCATGTTGCCAGTCCACCGCCAATCAAATTACATCCACACAGCCCTGATCAACCAAATTATTTCCATTTTGTAATGTAAAACTTAAAAAAAGGGAAAAAATGTCAAAATATGTTCCAGATAAAATTACTATTTCACAATTGTATGCCTCCACAATCCAATCAAATTCACAGCAATGGGACAGATGAGATCACTGACTTTGACCATCAAAATCTAATCAGCTCATCCTAGAATCCAAGTAGACATTTGTACCAAATAAAAAAAAAAATTCCCCTCAAGGTGTTAATGAGATATCAGGTTCACAAGAATGAAAGAAAGCAAGGTCACAGTGACCTTTGGTCATCCAGATCTACTCAGTTCATCCTCAAGTCCAAGTAGACATGTGCCAAATGTGAAGAAATTCCCTCAAGGTGTTCCTGACATATCATATTCACAAGAATGGGCCTGGCATCTGGACAGCCAACCAAAAAACATAATGCTTCTGGCTGCGGCTATCGCCAGCGTGGAGGCATAAAAACAAAAAGCCCTGATTGAAAATGGTCAAATCTGCTTTTTCAAATTGGCAGTACTAAACCATGTTTTCTTCATTTTGTATGGCACTGAAATCATTGTTATAGAATCACTAACAAACATTAATTCAGAAACCTCCAAAATATACTAATACTAGCTTAACTTATCAACACAGAGTAAACAAAAAAAACAAGCAAATTAAGTCATTCACCCTTAAATCTACATTACAATGTACAGTACAAAACAAACTAATATATACATTTAGGATTTACCAAATCTACTATAAATGCTAGAACAAATCCAATAAATATGAATTAAATAAAGCATTATAAAAATAAAAAGTCCTAAACTTACTGTACATATAGTACATAAGGTTTTGAGGGAAAGGGCTCACAGGCTCTAAGGGAGGCTTTAAGTTCCTCAGAGTGTCTCACTTCACTAGTAGAGCTCTGGAGCTGGGGGTCACGGAGACTTGGGACTAATAAATAATTGGCTATCACCTTCTCTGTCTTTCCTGCCCTTTACTTCTTTGTCCTAGTTCATTTCTCATCACTCTTTCTCCCATCATCTCACATTCTGTCCTCTTTTCTTTCACTCCCTTTCATCGCTTTTGCTCACATCTTTCCCTTCATCTCTCTCTCCCGTGATGCCTGAATAATGTTAATCACAAAACCAACATCTACTAAAAATGAAAATATAATTAGAACAGCTTTTATACTATATACAATGTACAGCCTTGTTTTCAGCTACTGGCAGGAATACAAAGCATTTGCATCAGTTCTACTATATTAACTATGTTTCTTCTCTGTGACCGCCTGGATGACATTCTCCAACAAACACATGTCCACACCCCCTCATTTTGTGTGTGCCCTTGTGAACTCACTGGTCTTATTTCAATCCTTCTTGGTCTAATGATCCACAAAACCAGCCACAGCCATGCATGTTATGAACCACTGTACACGCCAATGAGCCACGGTGGAGGAGAGCAGAGTGAGTGAAAGCTAGAGAGATTGAGATGTGAATCAGACCGTGAGTTCGCAATCAATTAAGATCCTAATAAATATTCCCTGGGTCTCCATGTTTCAAGCAGAAAGAAAACTTATTTTCAAAACCCCGAAAGCTTGATTAAATGAGCAACCCAATGACATTAGGAAAGGACTGGTATAGCTATTTTTGTGATGCCATAAAATAAACAGCCATTATCCCACCAGTGGAATAATCATGTTCAACAAAAATACCCATTACAAAATGTAATTAATGAACAATCAAATCCTGCAAAGCCCAACTCTGGTGGATTCCAGGCTT